TAAGAAATACATTGTGATAAAAGTTTTGGCCGTATCGTCCAGCCCTACTACTACCACATCTTTTAAGATAAACATACATAATATATATCAAAACATAGGCGTTCTTGTCGTGTTTCCACCAATATTTCTGGTGTGGCTGTAGTAAAGTTGCATTCGGGCAAAAAAAAAATCTGACCCGACCTGGCTCCAGCCCATTGCCATTTTTTCCGAACCCGACCGTACACAACTGATTAACTATTATTACAGGCCCAAACCCAGTAAAAAACGACATTTGCTAAAAAGTAAGCTTTTACTGTTTTTGTATGCAAATCCATCCATCCATTATCTTTACCCGCTTATTCCATTTTGGGTCACGGGGGTCACCAGTGCCCATGTCCAGCAATCATTGTGCGAAGGGCGGGGTACACCCTGGATGGGTCGCAAGTCCATCACAGGGACACACAGTGACAAACGACCATTCACTCTCTCACTCACACCTAGGGACAATTTAGAGTTACCAATCAGCCTAATATGCATGTTTTTGGTCTGTGGGAGGAAACCGGAGTACCCGGAGAAAACCCACGCATGCACGGAGAGAACATGCAAACTCCACCCAGAAAGGCCACCAGACCGGGATTTGAACCAGGGACCTGCTCGCTGAGAGCCAGCAGCTCTACCAGTTGCGCCACCGTGCCGCCCTGTAAACAAATCAGTTTGACATATTTTAAAAAGGTGTTTCAAAGAAAGGAAGATATAAGATTTCTTGTTTCCCCAAATGGATATAAACAAACAAAACGAATAGTCCCAAAAAAAATCAACTCTAAAGATAGGCTATTATACAGATGAACAAAAATATTTTAGACTAAAATAATTTGGAAAAAATATAGAACAAGGCTGTTTTAATTGAACGCGCTGTTCGCTTCAGCTTTAGTAGTTTTTGATGCTGCAACTTCTTCCTTCACCATAGATGACAGCAGGTGTGGAGATGTGTGCGGCCGGTGATCCGGTGATCCATCTGAGCCATCTGAGCTTAACTGGACATTTTTTACCTCTTTCAACCGGCCGGTCAGACCTGCCTCCTCCTCTACAAATAGATCAACACAATTGCTTTTAATTGTGCATTCTGTTTTTAATGTGCATGTTTTCTTTGTGCTCTATGAGTCGTAAAACCACATCAAAACCCCAAGACTGACCCAGCCCGTCCATCAAACACATAATTTTGCCCAACCCGGCCCGAATTTCAGGTCGGGCCGGGTCCATGCTCGGGTTAGAAATCGCAGCTGTAGGTTATGGGTAAATCTGGCATTTTTAGAGCTATTAAGCTAAATTTGGTGTGATGGTAGCTGACAGTGAACCCCAACACAAAGTACAGTCAAGTTAAAAATCGAAAATGGCTGCCACGTGGCAGTTCCCGTCAAAGTTTTTCCAGGAACTTCCAATTTGTCTCTTTTATCCTCACCCTTGTCTTGATGTCTGTGCTCATTTTATGCTTTAATTATTCTTCAGCTGGTGTGAACAGATCACTTTCACACTCCGAGTGTAGATTCCTTGTTGATTACAGCAGCTGTTCAATGTAACGTTTGTGTTGCAGTGCGTCCATCTGACAGTAATGCTTTTGTCTGGTGTAAAAACTTTTAGCTTCTCCTTTATTTTAATGATTGTTATCTTATGAATAAACAACTTTGTCTCACCTAGGCCTGTCGCGATAAACAATAAATCAATTAATCGCATGGTGAATGAAAATTATCAACCTCGTTTTCATTTATCGGCTTTATCGTTTCTTCGTTTCTTTCTACTGAAGACACTGGATGACAAGAAGCTCAACTTCGGTGCTCTTCGCTGACCCCTCCCTTTCTCTTTAAAATCCATTTTAACCATCCAAAATCACGTTTTTGGATGGTTAAATCCAGCTAAGCTGAGAAGCTAAGCTAACAGGCCGACCTCGGGAAAAACCTCTGTCTTGTTGAAGTTTCAAAATTCACGTTTGAAACCTGTGCCTTTGTGTAAAAAGTTGTTTTTCTCTGTAAAAAGAAGCTGAGAACTTGTTTACTGATTTTTTTTTTTTGTGTGTGTGTGTGAAAAATGCTATGCTAAAGAGCTCAAAACACACCGAGCGTCCGCCATTTTGAGAACCATTAAAAGGAAAGAGAGACAGCCAGGGGCCTCTCTCCCATTTTTCTTAAAGAGACACGCTGCTCGCTCCCTCACTATCCATCCCTCAGTTCAAATGGTCTTGTACTGCCAGCCAGTGGTTAAAAAAGGTACTACACACAAAAATTAACCAACATTTCTTCTTAAATTTGACAATAATTACTAATTATTGTCAAATGTCAAACAATATTATTGTTTATCACAATAATTTCTGAAACAATTAATCGCCCAGCAAAATTTGTTATCGTGACAGGCCTAGTCTCACCAGTAAAACCTGTTAGCAACGCTCTGTTCTGCAGATGGTAAACTCTGTGAAAGTCGAGGGTTTAGTGGTTGCAGGGCTGTTGAACTGTGCTGCCGGTTTCTCTCAACCTTGCACAACTCCCCGCCACACACACATTCACAAAACTGTTCATATGGTCTTTTTATTGAAGCCAAGCAAGCCGGGAGTTATTTTGATTTATTAACAAAAATAGGATTAAAATAAAATGTAACTTTTAATCTTTAAGTTGATTCAAGCATTTCTCTGATCGCCTCAAAGGTACCCATGTTTGCTGCTGATTTAAAACATGTTTTAAATATTTTGTTAGTCCCAGTATATCAATTAAAGCAGCAAATGTCAAACTCCTTTGAAGACGGCTTTCAGACCCCCCCCCCCCCCCCCCCCAATCTACTTGATTTTGCAGCATCTGGGCAGGTGGCACAGAGGTTAGAGAAGGCAAGCCTATGATTGGAAGATTGCCAGTTCAAAGCCCCTGACTAACAATAAATTGTGGGTGAAGGGAGTGGGTGAAGCACCACATCTGCCTCCACCCTCATTTGCCCCACTCTGGCCCTTGACGGCTCCTCCATGGGAGTGGAAACGTTGCTGATTCAAATCCTCGGTGAGAGCGGGAAGGTTACCGGTTCAGATCCTGGACGGGGACCTTTCTTGGGGGAGTTATGTCCATGATGCGTGGCTTTCTCCGGGTGCTCCGGTTTCCTCCCACAGACCAAAAACATGCATGTTAGACTGATTGGTAACTCTGAATTGTCCCTAGGTGTGAGTGAGAGAGTGAATGGTTGTTTGTCTCATTTGTCTCTATGTGGCCCTGTGATGGACTGGAGACCTGTTCAGGGTGTACCCCGCCCCTTGCACAGTGATTGCTGGACATGGGCACCAGCGACCCCCATGATCCAAAATGGAAGAAGTGGGTAAAAGATAATGGATGGATGAATTCTAAATGAGACGATTAATTGAACACTTTGGTAAAATAGTCCACGCTCTTTGACGTTCCCACATGAAAACCAAACAACTCGTCTCTCGTGCCTCACCAGCAGCTCCTTGTACATCGTCTCATGGAATGGCTCGTTAGCCGCAGCAGTGACAGTGTTTGAAGCTTCAGAAAAAGGTGTTTTGATGGCTTGCGTCATTCTTGAACATTTTACAAAGGTCATATTAACATGTAAGGTTATATTTTGTTTAGCAAATATGTGAGGGGGAGCAAGCATTAGGACATGTAAAACCCTCCATTTTAAATCCATTCTTCTTCCATAACAAGCGTTTCTAAGGACCCCATTAGTTTGAATCAGTCTTTCTCCAGCAGTTAATACTGTTGTAGCTTTTTAGCTTACCTGTCGTCAACAAGATATTAAATAGTTTTAAAGAGAAGCGCTTTGCCTGTAAGTGCTGCAGGTGAGTCCAAGGCTGGGAGGTTGTTAGACTTTTCAAATTTGTAACTCTGAGACTCAGCTGCTGCGTCGTTTGGTCATGAAGTAAAAAAAAAAACAACTGTTTTTTTCTGGGCAGTGATTCGAGCAGAGGGAACTCATCAGGTCAGCAATTCAGATTAGCATTTGAATCCACCTGGATTAGGGAGTGGTGGCGCAGAGGTTAGAGAATGTGGGCCTTCTCAGTTCCCAGTTCAACTCCCCATACTGACGACATCAAAATGTGGGTGAGAAAAGTGAAGCACTCTGCCTCTACCCTCATTTGCCCCACTCTGGGCCCTTGAGCAAAGCCCTTAACCCCCACCGTCTGCTCCCCCGGGCGCCCTATGGCAGCTCCCTGCTCCACACAGAGGCTGTGGTAGCTCGGTGCTCTGTGGTTGAGTCAGGAAGGGCATCCGGAGTAAAAACAGTCGCCAAGTCTTTATATGAATTAGTTGGCTGTGGCGACCCCTCAAGAAGGGAGCAGCCCCCCCCCCCCCCACACACACACAAAGCATTTGAATCTACCTGGCTTACTCTGGTTTAAAGTTTCATGGCAATATAGTTTGATTTGTATCAGTAAGGCCTTTTTGTCCTTTCCTATTCTTCTCTCCATATTTTTCTTTGTTTAGTTTTGACAGTTTCTACTTCTTAGCTAAATGAAATAAAGATGCCCAACCAACTATCCACAGTAACGAGCACAGATGACAAACGAGATCTAAACTACAGTAGAGATTTTGATTCATTACAAGCCACAGAGTGATTATTCTGTAGTTTTTTCTGAAGAGTTGCAGGAAACCCTAAAACATTGTAGTGTTTGGGTAAACAACTTCTGCTCAGAATATTTTAAATTAATGCTCATTAATGGTGCCTGTTTTGCAGCTGTACTCTTTCTATATGCATATTTATTTTATAAAGTACTGTTTATTTTTTAATATTTATTTTGCATTTAGTGTATCCCCTCACCATCTCCCCCTCTTGTGTTTCAAGGTGCTTTCATCCCAGGACTCCCAGTGCAACCAGTGGTCCTGCGCTACCTAAACAAACTGGTAAATCCACTGACACCTCTCTTCCTTCTGCTGCCTCGTTTGCCCTGCCTCCACCTGCACATCCGCCTCGTCTTTCCAGACGCTCACCCTGACACACTTTCCATGCAACGGTTTCTTTTCCACGTGTCAGGGGTGTGTTTCCCTCTTGTGCTGAATGACTTCATGTTCTGTAGGGATGATATTTCATCCCCTTCTCTCTCCATCAAGCCCTCGTCTCGCACACGAGCGCATAAACGTGCACGCACAGGTGTCGTGTCTCTCTCCCGGCACCTGTCCTTACACTCTCATAAATGATGCCGTTCTTATTACCAAGGTTTTTTTTTTTTCTTGTTTAATGTCTGTTTGCCTAGAAAGCTTTTGCTTCAGTTCCTGAATTCAGTAACGACTGGAACCACTAGACATGCCCCCCCCCCCCCCACACACACACACACTCATTTCTGCACTTCCTAATTTAATAATCACGGTTATTTCTAATTGCTTCGACAGCTGCTTTAGTGAAATATAAAAGTCAAGTCAAATTCATTTATAAAGCACATTTAAAAACAGCAGCTGTTACCAAAGTGCTTAACAATAAGATTAAGACGGTAATTAAAGAAAGAAATAGTAATAAACATTATTTAAAAGCATCAAAAGAAAAACATAAAAACACAAAACATTAAAATACTAAGTCAAATCACACTGTGTTAAAAGCCAGAGAAAACAGATGTTTTTAAAAGAGATTTAAAAGCAGGAAGTGAAGTGACCTGTCTAATGTTTGGGGGCAGATTGTTCCAACGATACGGCCCATGACTGAAAAAGTCCAATCTCCTCTGAGCTTCAATTAAAAGCAGCTGGTCAGATGATCTCAGCGGCCAAGAAGGAACATAAAGTTCAAGTAGCTCAGAGAGATACTGAGGGTGCAAGACCATTTAGGCACTTAAAGGTTAACAGGATAATTTAAAATCAATTCTGATATGTACATAATAAAACTGGTGAAATATGATCAAACCTACAAGTTCCTGTTAAGAGCCGAGCTGCAGCATTTTGAATGAGCTGGAGACGTGAAAGGGAGACCCAACATAAAGTGAGTCACAGTAATCAAGTTGGGTTGTAATGAAGGCATGGACTATGTTTTCAAGGTCAGATCTGGTCAACACTGACTTAAGCTCAGTTATCTGCTTTAACTGGAAGAAACGTTTCTGCAGAACAGAGTTTATCTGTTTATTAAACTTTAAATCAGAGTCTAAAACCACCCTGAGATTTGTAACGGACTGCTTAAGATATGTCTCAAGAGAGTTAAGGTTTACAGGAACAGAGACGTCAGTTTTCTGATTGTTAAAACTTAAAAAAAAAAAAAATTGAAGCCATCCATGCCTTAATGTCAAGACATTTTAACACAGGGTAAATGGAGCAAGAACTATTGAGTTTTAAGGGCAGATAAATCTGACAATCATCAGCATAACAATGAAAAGAAAGACCATGTTTCCTCAGGATAGACCCCAAAGGGAGCACATACAATACAAACAGAAGGGGTCCAAGAAACGACCCCTGTGGGACCCCACAGGAAAGAGGCCCTGAAGTACTAAATCTTATGAAGATTATTGTTATTATTATTATTATTATTATTATTATTATTATTATTATTTTAATTTTATAAAGCTAAAAACAGTACTAAACTTTAAGCTAAAACTTTACATGTGCCACTTGCTGCTGTTCAGAGTATTGTTTTTGCACTATTAGTATTTAGCGTATTAGCGTATTTCTTAGTTCATATATTAGATCTTATTACTGTTTTCTTTTACAATGTATGCTTTTGTTGGACATAACTAGGACCCTGTGTACACAATTTTGTTCCACCTCTTGCACCACATGCAGTGTGAATGACAATAAAGAACCTCGACCTTGACCTTGCACAAACATAAATCTGACTCGTTTGCACTTTTCCATTCAGTTTCTGGTATTTTAGAAACACTCTTCATAAATAGTATTTGAATTTAAGCTTCCAAATTACCTTATGGGCAGAAATGTGAAAGTTTTCTTCTTAAACTGATTATAGCATCTCTGTGGAACATGTAACAATACTTCACACTATTTAGTTTTACCACAGTTAGGCCTGTCACGATAACAAATTTTGCTGGGCGATTAATTGTCTCAGAAATTATTGCGATGAACGATAATATTGTTTGAAATTTGACAATAATTGGTAATTATTGTCAACTTTAAGAAGAAATGTTGGTTAATTTTTGTGTGTAGTACCTTTTTGATCACAGGATGGCAGTAGAAGACGGTTTGAACCGAAGGATGGATATTGTCTCTAAGAAAAATGGGAGGGAGGCCCCTTGACATGACATGGGTTGTCTCTTCGGTTCTCAAAATGGCGGATGCTCTGTGTGGTTTGAGCTCTTTAGCGTAGCCAACAAAATCTTTAGCATAGCATTTTTCCACACAAAGCTTTTAATTAAAAAATCAGTAAACAAGTTCTCAGCTTCTTTTTGCAGAGAAAAACTTTTTAGATGAAGGCACGCGTTTCAACCGTGAATTGTGGAACTTCGACAAGACAGTTTTTTTCCGAGGTCGGGCCGTTAGCTTAGCTTCTCAGCTTAGCTGCTTTCAGCGATCCAAAAACACGATTTTGAATGAGTAAAACAGATTTTAAATAAAAGAGTAAGAGAGGGGTCAGTGAAGAGCACGGAGTTGAGCTTTTTGTCATCCAGTGTCTTCAGTAGAAAGAGAGAGACAGGGGGAACAATAAAGCCGATAAATGAAAATAACGTAGATAATTTTAATTTCTCATGTGATTAATTGATTTATTGTTTAAAGTGACAGGCCTAACCACAGTTTGATCAAATCAAGAACAGCACCTTGCATTTCTGTACTGATGCATCTCTTCTAGGTCGAAGTATTTTCCATTATTAATTTTAAAAAAACTGCCATATATATATATATATATATATATATATATATATATAAATTTCAATAAAAAAGGTGTCGGAAGTAGTGCAATAAAATCAACTTATACTCTTAAAAATATCCAGTCTGTATAAGAAGTCATGGAATAAGTTATTCCTTTATTCTACTCTTAACCTCATTTTATTTTAAATGGAAATTATATTTTACAGGTGTTTATATTGTACATTTGTATAAAATGTTTGAGAAGACAGACATATAGGTCAGCGCTGAGTTCAATACAAATTCCCCTCATTAGATAATATTGTGTACAATAGGATATATTTATTTAGCTGTTGTGGTGTATTGATTAAAAAAACTAAATATGTTTTAGAGCGATCCACTTTTATGACTTTTCATTTAACTGACTTCTCTGGACTTAGTCATTCATATGTAGAATGTGAAAGTTTTGGTCATCAGAGTTATATAATTACCGGTATTGCAAATTCATTGAAAATTCAAAATTTCTGGACAGCAAGGCGTAATTGTCAGAAACTAAATGTAAAATAATAAAACTAAAATCTAACTGCAGATGTGTAATCTTGCTTGTTTGATCAGCTGTGCGTCAGTACGATCAGAACAAATCTCAGTATGAATATTAACCAGCAGGTTGTAAAGTTAGTGAGTGTATTTTATGTTGTTTTTCTGTCTGTACAGGACACCATCACATGGACATGGCAAGGTCCTGGAGCGTAAGTTTCCTTTTACACATCATCCACAGCATGCTGCTTCTTTGGTACATAAGTGGTGATGTTATGACCACTTTCCTACGAGAAAGGAGCATCAAACTGGAATATCACACATCCTGTCATGTTTAGACAAAAGTAACTTTTCTATCTTCTAGATTTAAGATCTTATGGCTCACTCTGTGCCAACCACACAACTCAGTGGAGATTGAGGTGAGTTTTTTTTGTAAAGAGAAACTAATAAAACTCGTGTGTTTTTGCATTGTGGCTCAGTTTGGTGACATTACAGCAGATCTAAGGTGACATTCTTTCACTGTGTCCTTTAGTACTTGCCTGTTTACCATCCGTCCGAGAAGGAGAAGGAAAACCCTACACTGTTTGCCAATAACGTCAGAACGCTCATGGCCCAGTAAGTGCACACGCAGATGTGTTTGAAGAAGTGACTTTATCAACATTACATCATCTGCTTGTGTTCATAAGCTTCTGTCTTAAAGTCGTCCCTCTGTCCCAAAGGGCGTTGAAGGTACCACTCACAGACATATCCTTTGAAGACCAGGGGATCATCGTCTCACAGGGTCCACTGGGTATACAGGACTGCCGGAGCCTGCTACACTTCAACCAGCTCGTGTTTCGTTTGGGGTAGGTGAAGGGAGACGGGACTGACTGGTGGAACTAGGTGGATGTAGGCTCACACTAGATAAGGGCGTGAAAACACTGACGCCTGTTGGTGGAATCATTGCAACGCATGCACGGTGACAGACATTGTTTTAGGTCAACTTTCCTTGCCTGTTTTTTCATTTGTCTCATTTGTCCGTTAGCGAAATATCTCATGAACCACTGGATTAATTTTTTGTTGTTGCTGAAAGTCTTAAAGTAATTTTTGTATTTACGAAGGGAAGGAAGCAAATAACCCAGCTGATTAATGATGAACTGTCACGTTTTAACATTTCAGCAGTTCGGTAGGCGGGGCGCTCGGTTCTGTTGACAGGGCGGGGCACCCCGTTGGTACACTGGCAGGGCAAACACTGCCATGTAAGTCACAATGAAACAACGGGACGAAATCAGACATGGAGGCTGAAACTTAATAGACCAGTTTATTTCTTCTTCTTTCTCCTCTTCCTCCTCCACCTCACTCTGTCCTCACTCCAACTACCTCCATGTCCTCTCTTAACTGCATCCATATTTCTCCTCTTTGTCTTTTTCCTGGCAGCTGCATTTCTAACATCCTTCTACCAATATACCCACTGTCCCTCCTCTGGACATGTCCAAACCAACTCAGTCTGGTCTCTCTAACTTTATCTCCCAGTTGTTCAACCTGTGCTGTACCTCTGATGATCTCATTCCTAATCTTATCCATTCTCGTCACTCCTAAGGAGAACCTCATCTTCATTTATGTTACTTCCAGTTCTTTCTCCTGACTTTTTGTCCATGTCTCTGTCTCCAGATCATACAACATATCCGGTCTCACCACTGTACAGTAAACTTTTCCTTTGCTGCCACCCTTTTGTCTCAAATCACTCCTGAAACTTTTCTCCATCCAGCCTGGACTCTCTTCTTCACTTCTTTACCACACTCCCTATTTTCCTGGACAGTGGACCCCAAGTACTTGAAGTTCTGCACCTTTGTGACCTAGACATCATGTTAACAACATGAAAGTTGTTGAAGTCTGTTTTAGTGTATGTCACTAATAGTTTCACCATTTTTTGAACAGGTTGAGAGCCAGGAGCACAGACAAGCTGCTGGAACAGGCCAGCAGAGCTACAAAGCTGTGTGGAGACAGACTGGGACTGGAGGACTTTGCTGAGTTCCTCAACCTGCCAGTTACAGACACACTTAAACAAGTCCACAACCTCTTTGATCAGGTACATTTCAAACCTTTCAAAATATGTATCTGCCATGTTTTTTTTTTTTTTTTTTTCACTTTTTTTGTAAATTCAAACTAATAAGAACATTCAAAGTTAATCTTGAATCCAAGAAAATCAGAATGCAGCCCATAATGTTTAATCACCTTTAATCTTTTTTGAAAAGATAATCTTTTTGTAACCAAAACAAAAACCAAGGTGACTCAAAACTTTCAAAATGCCTACATATTTCTTTTGTAACCTCAAATAATAAATGCAATTGTTGTAATAATTGTAACAATTGTGAATTACCCCCAAAACTACGACGGAGCTTTAGGGCCACACTAAGAAAATAAATAAATAAATAAATAAATAAAATTAAGAGAATAAAATCGTATGAGACTGTTTTTTTGGCAGCTCGTTTATTTATTTTTATTTTTCCATGAGTCGGATCCACAACGCAACCTGTCAATCAATCCAGCAGGCGTGTCAGCAGGTGACCAATCCGAAGCTAAATGAGTCGTAATATTATTCAAACTCTGACACATAAAGCAGGTTTACCACATTTTAACTGTGGTAAAATGAAGAATGTTGAGCATCTTGTTAAATTATACTTTGGTATTGGTTTTACAAATATGGAGATAGTTAATCTGTTAGCACATCTGCATCAGATTATTATCAGTATCAGGACTTTGAGCCTGCTTACAGTAAGGTGGTACGCTCTGATGGGCTGCAGCGGCTCTCTGCAGGTAAGGAGCATCATTTACTGACACGCCTACTGGATTGATTGACAGGTCACGTCGTGATCTGACTCATGGAAAAATAAATAAATAAATGAGAGCTGCCAAAAAAAAAAAAGGTATTTAATCTCATAATATTAAGACTATTTGACTTTATTCTCATAATTGTATTGCTTTTAATTTATTTTTTCTTAGCGTGGCCTTAAAGCTCCGTCGTACAAAACAACCTGTAAACAAACAATGGCAAGACTTTAAATATTTGAAGAGTCTGCAGATGAAAACAGATGCTTGGTGATAAGTTGTTTGACGGACTTGAACCTTGTCTAGACATACAAGCTGTTGGCCTCAACTGTGAACAATGATTATAAATCCTTGGTGAAGGTCGATAAAGATAACTTAACTGATGTGGGGAAGGGATGTTGTTCTATTTAGAGGAGTTTGGAGTAAACACAACATCATGGAAAGGTTGTAAACAGTTAATGCACAGAAAACCCCAAGCAGATTCTGAAGTTATGACAAGAACTGACAGAATTTTTTTTTTTCTCAATTATCAGAATCAGTTTATTATCGCCATGTCAATGAACGAGGTTCACAAACTAGGAATTTGCTTCGACATAAAGGTGCGAATAGTAATAAAGTAAAATAAAGTAAAAATGAAAACGTAACATAAAACATGTGTACACCCATACAATCGAAAACTATAAAATAAATTATATAAAGGTAGCTATGTAAAATATATTGTTCAAAATCAGGAAAAGCACAAAAATGGGAAGAGACTATTTATAATTAAACTGTAGGTTAAATGAGATCAATTAAAAACACATCTACACATTAAAAAACACAACCAAAAACAAAAACACAACAACAAATAAAAAAAACACAATTACAAATAAAAAACACAACTACAAATTAAAAAACACAGCTACAAATAAAAAACACAACTACAAATTAAAAAACACAACTAAAAAGAAAAACACAACAACAAATAAAAAAACACAATTACAAATAGAAAACACAACTACAAATAAAAAACACAACTACAAATTAAAAAACACAACTAAAAATGAAATAATACAATTACAAAAAAAACAACTACATATAAAAACAACTACAAATTAATAAACACAACCAAAAAGAAAAACACATCTACAACTAAAATAATACAATTACAAAAAAAGACACAACTACATATAAAAAATACAACTACAAATTAAAAAAACGACTAAAAAGAAAAACACATCTACAAATAAAATAATACAATTACAAAAAAAAAAAACACAACTACATATAAAAAATACAACTACAAATAAAAAAAACCAACTAAAAAGCAAAGACAACAACAAATCAAAAAACACAACTACAAATTAAAAAAACCACTACTAAAAACAAACACAACTACAAATTAAAAAGGTCACTGTATGATCATGTTATAGTGATGTATATGTCAGGTGTATAAATGGAGATGACAATTATTACCTCAACAGTAAATGTAAAGGTGAACACTGAACTTAAGTATTTAAACTTTATTGACTATTTAAATATTCTAAAATCACTGCCCATCCCTAGCATAAACATTAAATAATATCAAAATATTTTAGGCGTTTTAGCTTTAGCATAATCAAAGTAAAATACAAACGAGCCTTTCTACTGGCACATTTATGGTTTAATCTTGTGTAGTGTTTATTAAACCGAATGACACTTCTGTATGTGAGACTGCTTCCTTTGTTAACGGAGATCATTTTGTTCCCAGCTTGGAGATGGACAGATAGACATCAGGCACTATATCATTGCACTGTCTACGGTTCAACGGCCTTCTAAATCCATGGAGACTTTAAAACTGGCCTTCCAGGTAAGAAGTTTAAACAGCAAATTGGTGCAAATGTGACTTTATTACACTAATCTAAACCAATGTGTGTGATAGATGTATGAGAACGAAGACAGTGGGGAGATCCAGGAGGACGATCTGGCTGTCATCTTGGAAATAATGTTGGGAGTAAAGGATGTGGAACTTTCCGGTCTGTTTTTAGCACTTGAGAGACCTGATACAAGGAAAATCACTTATGGTAAGAGCCCATTTTTGGTTGAGATGGCTTGTTTTGAAGCATTTTTACAAATTAGACGAAATAATAGAGGGTCAGAAAGAACTCCATTGTGTCTTTGTGGATTTAGAATAATAATATGACATGGTGCTGAGGGAGGAGTTGAGGTATTGCATGAGGAAACTTGGAGTGGCAGAAAAGTATGTTAGACTGGTACAGGACATGTATGAGGACAGCAGGACAGTGGTGAGATGTGCTGTAGGAGTGACAGATAGCTTCAAGGTGGAGGTGGGAGTGCATCAAGGATCAGCTCTGAGTCCCTTCTTGTTTGCTCTGGTGATGGACCGACTAACAGATGAGGTCAGGCAGGA